TGCAGTTTAGGATACTGCAAATCTTAGACCCTGCATGAACACTACACTGAACACTACACTGAATACTACACCGAGTTTCTGGAACTACCTGATGTCTGAGGCTGAACTAGCTCTTTTTCTATGTCTTGTAAGTCCTCAACTTCTTTAACTATCTTGTCGATCTTATATACAAAAAGCAAGGCAGGAAGAAAGCATAAGTAACAATTAACATAATTATTCAAAATATCAACTTTATTATGTTTGCGATGTTACTCTGAGTGCATATCCACACCGGGCGAGCTTGAAATATATGCCTGGCCACGGTGGGATTCGAACCTACGACCTTTGGAATACTAGCCCAATGCTCTTTCAACTGAGCTACGCGGTCAGGACGGTTCGAGTAAGTGATATTTCGGAACAGTATCTAGTTCCTTCAATACCAATGTGTTCTAGCAATATGAATTTTTTTCTGTGTTGGTGTTGTGTACTCAGGTGAATAATATGTTTGCGATGTTACTCTGAGTGCATATCCACACCGGGCGAGCTTGAAAAATATGCCCGGCCACGGTGGGATTCGAACCTACGACCTTTGGAATACTAGCCAATGCTCTTCCAACTGAGCTACGCGGTCAGGACGGTTCGAGTAAGTGATATTTCGGAACAGTATCTAGTTCCTTCAATACCAATGTGTTCTAGTAATATGATTTTTTTTTCTGTGTTGGTGTTGTGTACTCAGGTGAATAATATGTTTGCGATGTTACTCTGAGTGCATATCCACACCGGGCGAGCTTGAAAAATATGCCCGCCCACGGTGGGATTCGAACCTTACGACCTTTGGAATACTAGCCCAAGATCGCCCGGTGTGGATATGCACTCAGAGTAACATCGCAAACATATTATTCACCTGAGTACACAACACCAACACAGAAAAAAATTAATATCAACTTTATTGTTTAAATGCCAGCACTCTCCCCTTGACGAGTAAAATCAACTGGCGTTAGACAGAGTAAAATGATAAACTAGGGCGCATTGGGAGCAATGTGACTCAAAGGTAACATCTGGGGCCTGCTGTTCAAAAGCTGGTGACCTTAGCCCCAGGTTAACAAAATACCACAAAGCGATCTTCCCAACAGCTTGTTATAAACATCGAGATATTTTATGAAATCTGGCCTGGTTGAATAGAAGCTATTTTCTGGAGTTTTTTATAAACGAACATGCAGAAATTCCCAAAGCAATTAAGCAAATCATCGGGTTAAAATTACATGCGTTGACATTAAAACAACCAACCTTGAGGTCCAGCCTTCTGTGTTTCGCTTTCATATTACATAGCTCTTTTCTCTTCTTTTCCTTCTCAGTTGTCAACTTAGAAAGTTCATCATGAAGTGCATCTAAACTGCGGTTTTCCATGACAACTTTCTCCTTCAGTCGCTTTCTCTCTTTGGACAGGTCGCCGATCTTAAAACGTGGCATGGCAATCAACAGCCGCCAGACAGGGTATGTAGATTTCAAATTACAAACAATTGTGCGACTAAATTGGAAAACCGAAACGAAGGCACAACAGATGAACACCAGGGCTTGTCCTTTTTGCATAAGGAATCTACTGATGGCGTGTTGTAAAGAAAATAGACCAAGGGTTAAATCTTGCTTTGTCTGCTATATCGCAGTTTATCTATAAAACGTTAAACATTACAGTTGTGTACAAAGCATCTTTCTAAACGCATACGGCCATGTTTGGTATCAAAATAAAGCTCGTTTCACGTCCTTTCAACGACTGTAGACCGACGTTTATCCGACTTTAATACGTTGCTTCTACGACCCTTTGAAATATGACATTTTAGCGACTCGTAAATTCAATCCCAGTTCCCCGTTTCGAGGCGCGCCAAGATGGAAAAAGTGTTACGCAAGATGTGGCGTTTTTCGCGCCCTTTGTGCCCGGCGTGGTTGTTCCTTCTAACTTCAGCCTTAGCTATTCTCTTAAGTACAACTAGGGTTTTTACCTCTTCCTTGAGAGTGTTGTGGGTTGCGTCTAGGTAGGCCTCAGTTTCTGAATTCTTCCAGACCTTCATTCTTCTAAGTTGGCTGACATATTCAATTTCTCTTTGAATATCTTCTCTCTCATCTGATTCTTCTGTTCCCATTTGCCTCCGTAGAATTTCTATTTCAGAGTCCATATCTTCAGGTTCCATTTCCTTGTAGTTCGGGTATAATCTATCTAGCTCATCTAGTTCCTCAGCTCTGAAGTCTCCTCCCCAGATCTCAGAATATTCACTACTGTATTCATCAAGGATGGTGCTTACCCTTTCCATCCATGCTGCTTTGTATTCAACACTTTCAGCCATTTATACTTTACTTAATATAATAGTTATATATAATTAGGGCAGCTGCTACAACTAGTACCCATAAGTTTGATGCTAGCCAGGCAACTCCTTTTGCTCCCCATGACAGCGCAGTTCCAATTGCATTCAGGATTGGAAGAAGAATTGGTCCTGCTTTCTTTGCTAAATTTGCTAGTGCTTTTGCTACCTTACCAGTGGCCTTTCCTGTTCTTACAAGGGCTCCCCTAGCGTGTATAAGTATGGCTGTAATTAAACCTGCTGTTGACACTGCTATACCTGCAAGTCCCACCTTCTCCTTTCCTACCCAGTCTATAAATCTACGTAATCTAGAAATGTCCTTCAGTTGTGCCTCTCTTGCTTCCTCTACAGTTCTCTGTTCTAGTGTCCTATCTCTGGCTTCCTTCAAACTGTCAATTCTTTCTATAAGGGAATTATACTCAGTTGTACCTTCCGCAGAGGTGGAGCGTTCCACGGTTTCACCAATAGCTTCATTAAAGTAGTCAGCTTGTATTTGCAGCGCTCCATTGGGACCTGTTCTACCTTCTATACTTGATCCATCAGGTGGGTTAAGTACCCCTCTCAGTTCATTGTTTTCTTGCATTGTTAGCCCTGGAAGATCTCCTAGTTTTGCACTTATGTCTATTAACTCAATGTTCTCACGGTCAGCGTATTCCTCAGCTTCATCAAATTGCGGCTCTTCTCTACTGTCCTCATAGATTGATTCATCACTTGTAATTCTAGTGTCAGAATCCGTAGGGGTCTGCTTGATTTTCTTCAGAAGTTCCTTATATTCTCTCAAGGCAAGTGAGTCCTTTGAGTACACAGGTTTGCTGGTCTTACCACGTTTCATTATCTGTGTGCCACTTTTGTCAATACCTTGTTCACTTCTGAATACCAACACCTCTATGCCATCCTTAAGTGTTCTTACAGATGATCGTTTGATGAGTTCTCTGACGTATCTATTTTTCGGGTCTAGTAATAGTCCCTCCTTATTCTTGATAACTCTTGCGACAGCTTGAACGCGCTCCACTTGGTTTTTAAAATCTCTCTTTTTGTTTGCTGTAAGCCGGTCTTCTGAGAACTTTTTCAGTTTCTCTAGGCGGGCTTCTATTTCATCCCAGCTAGTGTCAAATGATTCGTTGAATGCATCTAAAACATCTGGAAGTACATTGTTTGGGTCTTCCACGAAATCTACTCCTGGGGCAGTTGTGCTTCCTGATGGACCTGAAATGTTTACTGTACCATCGTTTCTTTCGGTGAAAGTTGTTTCTGCTATTGCACGTCTCTCCATGAGACTCTTTACATAGTCCAGTTCACTTTTAAGATTGGTTATCACTATAGGATCACTACCATACATAGCCTCATCCTTCACCCTTGTTTCTAGCCTACTAAAGGCTGTTGATAGGTCATCATAATCAAGGTCATCGTATTGAGGATAACTTTTTTCTACCTCCTCCATCTCAGTATCATCGTGGTCATCGTAGTCCTCCATAATACTTTAACTTATGTTAGGGACTTGATGTCTCCAGCTGGTATCCAACTGTTAAATTTGTCATCATAACCTAACCACTTAATAAGAGCCATCTTTTTACCCTTCACTGTTCTTCTTCTTAGTACTTTCTCTATTTTGAAATCAGGTTCTCTTCCTTCAGCGCTATACAGTTCTTGTTCATAGAATCTGCCAATTATTGGTTCACCTGCACTGTCTTCTATTGTGTACATGTTTGGATGGCCGTGATACACTTCCGTCACAGTGAACAACTCCTCTGTAAAATTTGCTTCATACCCTTTTGTGAACACTGATTTATACTTCGATATTCTAACACTTTCTCCGACAGCAAACTTTGGTTCCGACGGCTTGCCTAAATTGTGACTAAAAAGTGTCTTCCATACTTCAGTTCAATTGGACTCATTTACGCTGTCCGGTGTTGTTTTAATTGATCTGTTCACTGAACTGTTGTAATTATCAGTTAAGTCTTGAAGGACGTCAAACCATTTATATGTACTGGCACTGTAAAAGTACTTCCACATTAGAGCTTTCAGTGTTCTGTTAAATCTTTCCACAACTGCGGCCTTCTTGTCTGAGTAAGTAGAGAAAAACTCAATGTTATGTTTATTGAGCAATGACTTTACTTCTTTGTTGTAGAACTCTGTGCCTTGATCAAACTGGGTGAACTTCGGGTATTTACCAAAATGATTATTAAATTGCTCTAAAATGTTACTGACGGCGTCCTTCATTGATGTCGCGTTTTTCCTATACACTGGTACTGTAAATGCGTACCTACTCAGTATTTCAATAGATGTGAGAATCCATCGATATCCCTTGTTCTTGTCATCATATTTTGTCATGTCAACTAAATCCATTTGTACCTGTTCACCTAAAGTCTGGACGTACGTCTGTCTGAACTTATGTTTCCTGAACACTTGTCTGTACCTAGTGTATGTGTCCTGCTCGTTTATCCATTTCTTGACCTGGTTTCTGGTTACTTCAAGTCCTTCTGATATTGCTCTAAGATACAGTTTCTCTGGTGTCTGTAATCCAGTTTTAGGATTGTAGTAAATATCTCGTAGTCCCTGTTCTTTTATAATATCGTCGTCCATCTTATATTAACTAATGTAAGCTACTCAAGGTACATCTCGATAAGCACTTCACCTATATCAATAGGTTTCCCATCTTGATCTGTCATGTAAAATACAAGTTCTGAGAAGGAACCCTTAACAATCGAAGTTCTGCTTTCAACATCAATGTAACTAACAACTGAGCCTAATAATGGTCTGTCAGTTGGAATTGTAATAGTTGTTATTACATCGCTGGGTCTTCCCCAGGGGTTAACGTTGTAAGTGTTATTTACGAGATTGCAGTGTATATTTACAACACGTAGACCATTATTAAAGTCAACCTTGCTGTCACCTGTCAAACTCCTCCCTTTTAGTAGGATCATAGGATTTAAAAATCTATTAAAACCTAACATAGTCAGTAATCGTGTTTCTACTGTAATATCCTGTTTTACTGCCTCTATTTGGCATACTGCTGTTTCAGCAAAGTAGGTTAGCTTAACACCATGTCTTTCAAGTAACTTCTTCATACTGTAAAATGTGTAGTAGCCTTTATTAATAATTACATCAGATTCTCCATCATCTGTTTTCACTTTGAGAATAGTTGTCGGTTCCCTTATATTGAAGTACTCCCAGAATACCGATACTCTCTTCATAAAGACTGAATTATAGTTGCTTGTTAGAACTGAATTCTGTAGTGATACAATAGTGTGCTGACCCTGGAGTAAAATTGTGCACTTCATCTTAATAACATACGTTAGGTTATTAAGAATGATACCAGGTGGAGGAGACGTTGGAAAGTCTCCTTATAGGTCTTATCAGGACTATGAAAAGAAGTATGGAAAAGAAGATGAAGATCATGTTGATCCCATTGCCGGGAAAAAGGCAGAGGACGCTGAGAGGGCTAAATTTATTAAAAAGTACCCTCACGCTGATATGGATAGGTTCAGGTTTGAAGCTATGACAACAAGTCGTGGTGATATTGGAGTTATAACCTGGTTTGTGGACTTAGATGGTATAACTTCATATGATATTAGATATGATGGTTTCAAGAAGAATAAGGAGTTTACATTTTATCTCACAGGTACTAAGAAAAAGGCTATTATTCCCGCACAGTTTGTACCTATGACTGCGCCATCATACAATCCTATAGGGGAGGCACCGGTGAGAACTCCAACTAAACCAAAAGTTCTCCATTCACTAGAAACAAAACCGAAAGGATGGCCGCCTCTCTGGGATAGTAATGGTACCATTCAATGGTTCGGACCTCCCATTATCCCAGAAAACACCACCTATGACCAAAGAAAGCTTGGTTTCAGTAGAGTTGTAATTCATGATGACAACTATTACATTAATACATTCAGACCTCATGTAACTCTTCCATATAACTTTAACAACTTTAAGATATACATAAATGAAAACAGTTATTTTATGTCTGGCTTCCCCGATGCTGGAGTAGGTTGGGATGAAGGTCCGACTTTAGCTAATAAGGATGTAAGAAAAGTTCCATTCAATACAATACCCTATACTAGAATGTTGTCCGGCGCTTATATAGCCAGCTTTCTTAGTGGGGTATCTCTAGAGCACGTTCGTGAAAGTAGTTCAGTTCCTAATATAATAACCTCTATTATGAGGTACCATCTTTACTACACAATTAGAAAGTTAACAGTTAATAAAGATGCTATCGATAAACTTAGCGTCAACCTTGATACTGTAAGGAACCATATTCCTATAAAGCAGAGGTATATTGCTGATGGGAGCGGTGCTACAACTAGTGCGGCACCCCTATCTAATAGCGACTACCTTTCATTTATAGCTGTAAAAAGTAATGGCCTTACTAAGTTAGGCGTTGAGCTTATCCAGGAAAGTATTGAGTCATACGTGTATGCTATGTTGGGAGCTCAAGCTAATACAAGGTGGTCAATAGAAGGAGACGGTCCAAAGGCTCTCCAAACACAGCGCGATTTTAGAGCAATTGTTAAGGCAACTATTTTACAAAGCAACACAGTAATAACAATTAGTAATATGAGGAAAGCTGTGAGGGACAAAAATGTGGTTCTAAACACTGCCCTATCCCCTAAAATGATTCTGATTCCATCGAACTTTACGATTCTTGAAAATCCAATTCCTGGCTATAATAACGTTT